GCCAGCCAAGCATAGAAATGAATACAGTATGGAAACCAGTAATACGGAGTGTTAGAGAAAAGCAATAATAACAGAATTGTGATATGAGCTCTGGTGAAATAGTTACTGAGACATTAGGTTTATAAGTTCCAAAAATTCATACACTGATGTCCTAAAAGCGTTGATATCCACTGACTTAACACAAAAGCTTGTGAGTTCAATACCTGGCTACTGCAGTGGTGAACAAAAACTTTTGAGTTCAAAGGAGATCACTGAGACATCCGGAAGTGGCGTGGCACGTGAAACTAAAACAATCTACCCCGGTGGACAATATGAAGGGTTCAGTTCGAAATTCGAAACATCTGAAGAAGACCGAAGCGTATAACGGCCGAAACGTCGTCAAAATGACAATAAAGATGAGGACAGCATTCCGAAGTGTAAATAAAAAATAGTCTTGTAATACATATATATTTGACAATAAACTAATACTCGTGGCTTTTTTTTTTCCAATTTCTGTAGCGGGGAATCTTTTCCCTTGAAAGGTTCTAGACATCTTAGCACTTTGCAAAAATAATTTAAATTCTTCTATCGCTACTAATGAATTTTCTGTTCCAGTTTACCTTCTTTTTTGTTGAAAAGATCCTCGGATACATATGCATGGTCTTGATGTTCAGTCTTCCAAGGGAATTGTCTTTTGAATCCTCATATGATTCTTTCATGTACTTCCGACTTTCGTTATTACACTCTGTTAGCTATCACATTTTCCTTTAACACTCTCCTTATTCTCAGGCCTGTAATATATTAAACAAATTTCTGATAATATAGAAATGGCTCACTCATGTGCGAACATTTTTGTGTTTGGTAATTTTAATACTCACCATGTCAAGTGGCTTGAGCATTCTAATGATACTGATCTTGTCTTATCTTCTGCTGATAACGCAGAAGGTTTTGCTCGTAAATTCTCTTCCATTTCTACTCTCGACTCATCTGGAATATCTTTGCCTGACCTTTCATTTAGAACCGAGTCCCTATTAAGTGATATGCATATAACTCCGTGTTTTCTGTTACCATCTCTAACATGGATCACCACAAAGCAAGTGGGCTTGATGGTAAACTGGCATTAAGAAATGTGCTCCTGAGCTGGCTCCTGTTCTCTCTAAACTCTACAAAAAATGCCTGGCTGTTTCCTGCTTTCCTGCATGTTAGAAATCCTTTTTGGTAGTTCCAGTCCACGAAATCAGGAGAATCGTCTGCTTCTTCTATCGGCCTATTAGCTTTCTACCTCTTTTGGGGGAAATAATACAGACTCTAATTAACGCCGAATTGGATAAGCATCTCACCATACAGGATTATTTTCAAACAAGAAGTATGGTTTTCACTGCTCTAGGTCAACTTATGTATTAACGATTGTTGCTAAGAGAGTCTTGATAGAATCTCTTAGCAACAATCTTAGCTTTAGGTAGGAATGGTGAAGGCATTTGACAAGGTTGGGATACTGGTTTTCTTCACATGTTGAAAGCTTATGACATTTTTGGTCAAATTTTTTAACTGATTCAGTCTTTCTTATCAGATCACGAAATGAAAGTTGTCTTGAATGGCTACTCTTCTAGATCTTTTGGCATAAATACAAATATTCCCTAATACTGTATCCTTGGATTTACGTTGTTCCTAATTTTCATAAATGACATTCCTAATGTCATCAGTTCTTAACTCGGTATCTATGCTGGTGACACAACTATTTACTCCTGCCTTAATAGTAAGTCTGTTCAATTAGATAAGGTGAAAGTGGTAGCTGATCTAAAAAAAGACCTATAATGTTTTTCTATCTTACATATTTATAAATATATTATTCATCGTTGCTTTGAATATTGCTGCCACATCTAGTCTGGTACTCCTGCTATAAATCTAGAAATTCTTGATAAAATCTAAAGAAGAATCTTCAATGTTATTAATCCTGATGTGGCATCTCGGCTTCAGTTATTTTCTCATCGCCCTAATGTAGCTTTCTCGTGCCTTTTCTATAAATATTTTCATGGTAATTGTTCTAATGAACTTTCCTTTATGGTATCTAGACTTTATGAATTTAAGCGTAGTACTAGATTGGCGACATGGTCTTATCATTTTACAGTTGAAATTGCTACGTGTAACCGTAGGTTCTATGTAAACTGTTTCTTCTCTCGCACTTCTTACGTGTTGGATTCTCTCATGGTTTCATGGGTACCAGTCAAGTTTGATTTTCAAAACTTTAAATGTAATGTCAATCACTATCTTCTGTCTTCTTAATTCTCGTTCTTTTATTGTTGTCTCTCCTTGAGAGCATTTTTTCTCATATCCTCTAACATAAAACTCAGTACTGCCTTGCGATTTAGTGTCTTTATTGCTTTGCGTGCGGTGAAATGATTAAGAATAAATTAAAGTTTAAATCAATTAATCTTTTTTAAATAAAGATTCAGAAAAGCGTGTTTGATTTTTGAAAGGTTTTTAATAAAGAGAATTATGCTGTGTTGACAGATTTGTCAATATTGCTGATTTTAGCGATTAAAAAAAAATAATTCCAATCAATTTAAATTCAGTTTAAAAATGCAGCAAAGTATTTTGCTTATTGGGAATCTATTAGCATGAAAGTAAAACCAAAATAAAACCTTCAAGAAAGATTTTTCTTTTTTAAAATCCATTTTGAACCTTAAGTGTCACCACTTTTTTTGGATGTACCTAGTTAATGACCCAATCTGGTTGACCCTTACTAGTGAATTTTTGATCCTCTTTGGGTACTCAATACTTGTGTGACAGAGCTAAAAATAAAGATAAACTTTCTAAGCGGCGCTTTGGCGTGAGATAATGTTTACTAGGTTAATCTGATTGATGGGTACTGCTTAATAGTGAGTTGAATCCTCATTGGATACCCTATCCTTGTTTCCTTGAGTTAAATAAATCTACGTTTAATATATAAAAGCATGTGTGAAAATTAAAATAACGATTCGTTTTTATTAAACATAACAGAACCAAAATTATCACTAAAAGTACTACTGTTACTATTATTAAATACTTTTACTTCCCTAGCAGTGTTGTATTATAATACTACTCTTAATAATAGGTACTATTACTTGCAAGTACAGTAAATAAATATCAATAATTATCACTATATTTTTCAATCTGTGGTTTTTACTTAGATACCAACAACACAAAAGCAACAACTATCAATAATAATAATAACAAAACTTATAATTACCGTATTTGACGGCGTATAAGACGCACAGGTTTATTAGACCCACTCCGATTTCAGCAGAGAAAATCAAGAAAATATTAGTAATTAGTAAAATTAGTAAAATTATTAGCAATTGGTACAGCCTAGGCTATATTTATGAGGTATTATTTTGATTAAACAAGCCATGATTGCAATTAAACGAAAAATCATAAGAAAAAAAGGACACAAGCCTATTAAAAAAGTTATTATATCCAAAACTAAGAAAACAAAATAAAAATCAAGCAATTATTACAATTGAGCAAAATAGTAAAGTTACCATTAAAATTTTATTCATCTTCAAATCCATAAAATTCGTCGTCTTCGTTATCAAAAACTCTGATAGTCATTTTTCAATACTACTATCATCGTTGTTAAATAATGCGTCATCTTCCGTTCCATTGAGAGCATTGCTAATGCCACACTTTTTAAAAGATTTCCCAACAATTTCTGGTCTAATATTATTCCAACCTTGTTTCACCCATTCGCAGACTTGTGCAATACTGGGTCTTTTTATTCTTCCTGTAAGTGTAGAGTCGTGATCAGGCATTGCCAACCACGTGTTCCATTGCTCTTTCATGTTTAAGTCTAAGCTAATAGGAGTTGCCAGGTTGCTAATTTCGGCCGAATATCGCGAATTTAAAAACTACATATGGCATAAATTACACAGGGGAATTTTAAAAGATATTTTAGTGAAAAAAAAAACCTTATACGCCGTCAAATACTTATTATTGCGATTACAACTGTCTTAGTGCACTACTACAACAATAAACATATTAAAAATAAAAGTAACAGCAATAAAATTAGCAATAACTTTAATAGTATCAATGATAATATTACAAGTAATAATAAAAAAGATAACTTTGGACAATAGTGCGACATTTAAACGATTGCAACCAAAAATGAATAATAAAACAACAATAATAGAGAGTACTAATAACGACGATGGTGTTGATGATGTTGATAATGATGATAATATCAGTTACGATGATGATGATGATGATGATGATGATATCAGTTACATTTTTGATGATGATGATGATGATGATGATAATATCAGTTACGATGATGATGATGATGATGATGATGATATCAGTTACGATGATGATGATGATGATGATGATGATGATGATGATGATGATGATGATGATGTTGCTGATAACGATGATGATGATAATGGCAGTACCAATAATGATGATGATGATGATGACGATAATAATAATAATAATGATGTATGCTGATAACGATAATGATGATAATGGTAATACCAATAATGATGATGATGATGATGATGTTAATGTTGATGATATTAATAATAATGATGTTGATAACAACGATGATGGTGATGACGAGGAAGATGATAATAATAACAATGATGATAATTATAATGATAACAATGATGATGATGATGGCGATGACAAAAAATATCAAAAGAATAATTAATAAGATTTTTATTTCTATGTTTACAATTTACCTTTTTGTGCTTCAATGACAACTAAGACGACAACAACAACAATAACAACTGCTTAGACAACAGATAAAATGATAACACTCGTCATAAAAAAATAATTAAAAAAAATGAAATTAAAATAACATAAAAAAAACGGTGTTTTCCCCGCCTATTTCTCCGGTAACGAACACCCCCGGTGTGACTTCCAAGATTAAAAAAAGAAAGATCTCTGAGCTATCGTCGAAACAAACATATAAAGATTGCAGGCAAACAAATATTTCAGATACATATGTATTCAATTAAAACACACAGGTGCACACACATACACACATACATGCTGGGATAGATAGATAGATAGATAGATAGATAGATAGATAGATAGATAGATAGATAGATAGATAGATATGAACAGGCTGAGATAGATAGATAGATAGATAGATAGATAGATAGATAGATAGATAGATATATGAACAGGCTGAGATAGATATAGAACAGACTGAGATAGATATGAAACAGACTGAGATAGATAGATATGATGAATAGATAGATAGATAGATAGATATGAACAGGCTGAGATAGATAATGAACAGACTGAGATAGATATAGATAGATAGATAGATAGATAGATAGATAGATATGAACAGGCTGAGATAAATAGCTAGATAGATAGATAGATATGAACAGACTGAGATAGATATGAATAGATAGATATGAACAGGCTGAGAGATAGATAGATATGATAGATAGATAGATAGATAGATAGATAGATAGATAGATAGATAGATAGATAGATATAAAGAACAGGCTGAGATAGATAGATAGATAGATAGATAGATAGATAGATAGATAGATAGATAGATAGATATGAACAGGCTGAGATAGATAGATAGATAGATAGATAGATAGATAGATAGATAGATAGATAGATATGAACAGGCTGAGATAGATATGAACAGACTGAGATAGATATGAACAGACTGAGATAGATAGATAGATAGATAGATGATAGATAGATAGATAGATAGATATGAACAGGCTGAGATAGATATGAACAGACTGAGATAGATAGATAGATAGATAGATAGATAGATATGAACAGGCTGAGATAAATAGCTAGATAGATAGATAGATATGAACAGACTGAGATAGATAGATAGATAGATATGAACAGGCTGAGATAGATAGATAGATAGATAAATAGATAGATAGATAGATAGATATTGAATAAACAGGCTGAGATTTATAGATATTGATTTTATAGATAGATAGATAGATAGATAGATATTTATAAACAGGCTGAACAAGATAGATAGATAGATAGATAATAGATAGATAGATAGATAGATAGATAGATTTTAGATAGATAAACAGGCTGAGATAGATAGATAGATAGATAGATGGATAAATAGATAGATAGATATATGAACAGGCTGAGATAGATAGATAGATAATAGATAGATAGATAGATAGATAGATAGATAATGAATTAGGCTGAGATATAGGTAATAAAAGGTAGATATAAAAAGAAAGAGGCAAATTGAGATGAACATGCACACATTTATACACACATGCGCATACATACATACATAACATATATTTAATTTATTATACAGGGAAGTAGATGCATAATGCATATAAATAATGCAAACAGTGCATACATGTATGTGTGCGTGTATTATATGTGATTGCATTGTGGAAACGCGTTTATTCATAATTTCTCCTTATTCCAGTTAAAAATCTGAATATGGATATGTGTTCGTGTTCGTGTGTTGTTCGTGTGTTTTTGTGTGTGTGTGTGTGTGTGTGTGTGTGTGTGTGTGTGTGAAAGAGAGAGAGAAAGAGAGAATAAAATGTGTGTGTGTGTGTGCATACGTTATGCTCATGTTTTAAAAATGACCCCCAAAAATGTGTCAAACGTCGAATCGTGAAAAAAAATTTGCGTACCCATAAAAAATTCTCGATCCCCATGGAATATACTTCCCAACAATTTGTACACGCGCACTGTGACAACTTTGCTGAATGGGGGTGAATTTTCGGTGGTTGAGGTTCAAGTCCGAAACAGAGCAAAAAAGAAGTGTAAGGATATATTTAAATACGTTTTATGTGCCTACAGCTCCATATCACCTTCCTATCAGCCGCCTTTTTCGCACCCCACAAAAAAAAAAAAAAAAAAAAAAAAAAAAAAAAAAAAAAAAAAAAAATCAACTTGCCACAAGTATAAATACTTCTATCGCCTTTGGCGTATTTTCTTTACCTTCTATTAAATATCTCTGTTTTTAAATCTTTAAATTTGTGAAAAAAAGTCACACACACATATACACACACACACACACACACACGAATACACACACACGAATACACACACGTGCGCGCACGCGTCATATTCTTTCCGGTATATTGCAATTATTTATGTATCATTTTTTTTTTAATATTTATTCTTTCTTGATTGGAAAACAAAGCAATATTTTCGGAACACTTCAGTACATCTGAACAGACGTAATACGGTAACGACGAAAACTGAGAAGCGATAAAAAATTTCGATATATAAACAAAACAGTTCTTATTCATTCAAAATATATTATCCATTTCCTTATATATATATATATATATATATGTGTGTGTGTGTGTGTTTGTGTGTGTGTGTGTGTGTGTGTGTGTGTGTGAATTTCAGATGGAGCATATCTGTAAAAGGACAATATGAATAAAGAAAAAAGGAAAATTTGTCTTTTCGCGTTTCTCCTTTTCTGTGGGACTTTATCAAGGAATTTGCCAGAGAATGAAACCCGTCTGCTAAGATAAGTTTTCCTTTTCTTTTCACATACACACGCGCGAGCGCGCGCACACACACAATATATTGCGTATTTAGGTAGCAATCCATCTTTTATACATATTTCGTTAAAGACGACTGACAAGGTACCGTGATTAAGCTTTTTTATTTAATTTTTCTTCTGTTCGAACAAGTGTTTTCTTTTCTAGACACAAAGTGTGTAAAAACTGTTCAAATGTTCTCCACTTTCGAGTGCTTTCGGCTATTCTATTAACATTTGTTAGGGGTGATTTTATTTTTACTTTTTAGCTAAATGTATGGGTTGTGTATAACTATATAGATTTACAGGAGTGTTTTAATTTACAAATACAGTCAGCACATTGTGGTCGTGTTCATAGTTAATATTATTTAATGTTGACTTTTTAATTTTTTATTATTATTAGGGCTTCCATTATTTTTTTACATGTGGATGAGGTTTTTATGCTTGTATATTCTATTAGTATGTTTCGGATGAAGTCTGATAGGTTTTTGTGTTTGTTCAAATGAATTCTAATGGAGCTATTGTCAGATATGTGTAACGGAAGATGTGACCGATATAATTATTTCTGAGTCCGGTTTGATAAGAAACACAGTTCCTTAAGGGGCATTTGAACTCATAATTAATGTTGGTTCTTTGTAGTTTTGATTTTGCAGGTATGTTGTCATATTTGAGGATAAGGTTAGCTGTTTTAAATTTTTTAAATAGTTAATTTAATTATAATGTTCGGGTCCATTGGGTTAGTATATTTCTGTATGATATTTCTAAATGAAGATTCATCGCTGATGGGCATTTGGCTTTTGCAGAAGATATTTATATTATTGCCCTTGCCCGTGTGTTCAGTATCGTTATTAATTACTATGGAAAGAAATAGTCTAAGCTAGTGGTCGATGAGGTAGTTCGGAAAACTATTGTTAACTAATGTCTATTTTGCATTGTTGAGTTCTTTCAGGAAAAGTCGACGAAGGATGAATTCTCGTGTGTTCTCTTTAGGAAGTTTTTTTATCACCGCTATTTTGTATCTGAGTGGGGCGGGCATTCACTCTTAAAATTAAGGTGGCAAGAATTTCTGTCAGTGTTTTTTTTTTTATATACAATGAGGTGGTGAAAGTGTTGTGACTGTATTCTAAGAATGAGAATTTTTTACATAGTTAAGGAGCAAATTTTTTCAAATGTGGTTATTTATTTCTTATGTGTCGATGTAGTAGACATATATTTTGGGACTACCTGGTTAAATACCATATTTTCTACGTGGTATATGTAGTAATTGGAGAAGCAGGGGCCTAGCGAATTTCCCATACTAACACTATTAGTTTGGGTGTTGATGTTGCTATTCTGGTTATAGAAGGGGATTTTGATTGTGTAATAAGATGTTGAGAATATTTGGTTTGATGGTTGGAGGTGGGATAGAATTATTTGTGTACACACAGTTAAGGATAATGTCAACGGTTTGATCAACAGGGACATTTATTAATAAATTTTCAACGTCGAGTGACGCTAAAATAACTTAAGTTGGTTGATTTCTTATATATATATATATGTATGTGTGTGTGTGTGTGTGTGTGTGTGTGTGTGTGTGTGAAAATATATACAAAATAGGAAAGAACTCGTTAGGTAAATAATCCAAAGTTCTTTATTATTTTTGTTATTATTTTTAAAAAAACAGTGCTCGATACAAAAATAGAGCCTAAATATAATTATTTATTTTATAAATATGTAGCGATGGTATCATATTTTTAAATAAATAATTATATATGTATGTAGCGATGGAATGATATTTTTAAATAAATAATTATATATATATATATATATATATATATATATATAAAGTCTTCATCATCATCATCCACTTGACTTTAGTAATCGTAGGGCGGGTCCGAATGCAGAAGCTACGCTCTTTTCCACAGCGGTCTATTAATTCTGGTACAGTCATACCTGTCCATTTATTGACATTATCCAACCAGTTTTTGCATTGGCACCCTCTTTTACGTTCACTTTCAACAGTGCTTGCTCGATGGTTTTGCACAGGTTGTCGTGCCATGTAATATGTCCAAACCATGCCATTTCTTTCCGTTTACCAGTGACAGGAATAGGTTCCTGATGACCCACAATACTTTCAACACTTTTCCGCAAAAACTCATTGGTTTTATGTTCCCAATAGAAGATGCCAAGGAATTTTCTCATTAATATTTTTCTCAAACGTCTGGATACTTCATTCTGTTTCTGCCAACAGTGTCCACATTTGAAATCCTTGTAGAAGAATAGAGACTACCATCGTAACGTACAGTCTGTACATTGTTTAATATATATATATATATATATATATATATATATATATATATAGGTAATGATAAATTTGGCAATCCGTATGGCTAATCCATTAGAGGATCTAATCAAGATAGATCGATGTCAAACGAAAGTGAATATTAAACCAGTTCCCACCCATATATATATATATATATATATATATATATATGAAAAATATAAATAGAGTTTCCTGATGACGTGTTTCGTCCTTTATGGACTTCATTGAACTAAAGTGATATTTACTGATATTTGCGTTGTTGCGTCCATACAATACATATGGTAATTTAAATTTAACTTTCTTTTTAATTTTATGTAATTTTTTTCTCTTCGTTATACTTTTTCCCGCTAAAATCATTCTTGATGTATAAAATATGTACATATAGAGCTATCCCATATATCCCACACATAAACTCTCACTGAAATTGAGTTTTTTATACCCGCAGTTATATTTTCCGATTTCTTTTTGAATTTGTAGGTTTGATGAATTGGATCGTTATTACGATTGCAATGTAATAAATTATAACCATGGAATATTAGTGTTTGAGCCTTTTATATTATATTCTTACTCTGTCCTGGTCATTGAGTTCTACCTGGATTCTATCCTCTTGGAAATGTATATATATATATATATATATATATTTATATATATCTGTGTGTGTGTGTGTGTGTGTGTGTGTGTGTGTGTGTGTGTGTGTAATATAAATAGAGCATTAAGATATTTTATGATTATACCTAAAAGGGCTCAGGTATTGAGCGTGTGTAAATCTAAAAGTGGACATTGTGGTCAACACCGTCTCAAAAATAGTTGATCCAAAACACTATACAGGGCCCAAAGATTGCTTTCACGCATGAAACAGGCTGTCGACCATCAGTGGCAACGTCTTTTTCCACACACACACACATACATGTTAACACGCGTTTTCAGCTATTGATCCCACGCCCTTATTAGGTGCATGACGCTCGGGTAACTGCAGGGAATTCCTATCTGTATTTATTTATCTTTCTCGTTACACTGCCTATATCTAGGGATATCTCTTCTAGATCTTATTTAATACTGCTCGGCGACTGTTGAATTTGATGATGTAGTAATTGAGTTCAATCCCCGATCCGGGCAGTTTATACTTGGACTCATTGAAAACGGGGAGAGCAATAACGGGGAGAGCAGTACTAAACCATATCCCTAAGCATGGACAATGGTACGAAAACAATCTACCCGTGTAGATTAAGTAAAAGTTTCTAAATTCCCTGTAGAATGCCGAAGAGAACAACCCCCAAAACTTCATGATAACAACATCGCTTATTTTTCTTTAATAAGATTTTTCGAATATTCAGACCGGTAGACAAAAAAATAAATAAATAAACTGTTTAATAAATAAGCGGAGTGTCTAATCAAATATGAATATCCACTAAAAATAATGTTTAAACTGATATAATGATTCCGACGCGTATCCGTGCAGAAGGGCGAAAGCGAGCGTGTGGACAAGAGCACGCACAAACACAGTTAATACAGAAGAAAAATTATATTCGTGCTAAATGTGTATAAAAAGAAAAAATAAATATATATACATATAAGCAGTAAATTGCTGATACCCACTGAAGAGTGGACGGATAGGTCCGTCTTCGAAAGTCTGGAGTCGAGATGCTGAAAGTAAAATCAATTAACTAAGTGACAAATTTTACAAAGCAGCGATCGAAACACGATTGATTTGTTATCAGTCGAAGATTTTACCCCTGTTGGCGTATGGCAGGGATGAAGGTGAATTTAGACGTATTTATTTTTAGATAAACACGCCAGTGACTGGAGAACTCGATTCGTCTTAACGAAGAGTCTTTCATCAGCAAAAGTGTTAGTTACTGTTTACAAATTCACTATTCTCCCCGAAGAGTTCAACCGAAATAATTTTTCAGCAAGATGTATATATTGTCATTCATATATATATATATATATATATATATATATATATATATATATATATAGAGAGAGAGAGAGAGAGAGAGAATGTGTGTATGTATGTATGTGTGTGTGAGAGAGAGAGAGAGTGATATTAGTATCAAATCCGAAAGTGGAAAGGATATTCCAAGTCGTTCTTTTTCATATGAAGTATTAAAAAGAATAATCCATCTCAATGTATAGAATACAGAGCAATATGATATAGATCAAGGAAAAGCTTAACACAACTCGAAAATACAGTTATAAATCATGATTTATTTCGACAATTTTCATCAGACCGAAAATATAAATGGTTTAAATTTACAATATATATATATATATATATATATATATATGCTTGACCTAATTATGAAACATTAGTCAGGTAATAAAGAAAAACAAACAAGAAAACAACACAAAACTGACAAGATATAATGACAAATAAACAAAGACAAAAACAATATCTCGAAAAGTAATTTTCAGTTATTTGCAATTAGAATTCTTTTATCACCCTAACTGAATATATATATATATATATATATATATATATATATATATATATATATATATATATGTATGTATATTATAATTTTTTCATATAGACAAGAACAGTTTGCTCACTACAAAGAAGCATCTTCGTTTAAGTGCATTTCGTTTGCACTTCGGCTGGTGAGAACCAAAATGGTTTTGATCAATTCTGTTTAAGAGTAAGCCGTATGAGAAACGCCACTTCCTATTTTCTATTTCCAGTGCAACTGAATTTTATTGAGCACTCTTTTAAGAATAGTATTTGTTGGTTATTGGAATTTACTCCATATACACCAATCCTATACTTGGATATATATATATATATATATATATATATATATATATATATATATATATATATATATATATATATATATATATATATATCCATTAAAAATAACGTTTAAATAAATAAATGCATATATGCATATTAATTAAAAATTTTTTAATATATCCATGGATACACATATTTTGAATATACCCATGGATACAAAATTTATTAATATACACATAGATACCCATCATTGAGCAGATGTTCCGTTAATCTTTTTAAACAGTATTATATTTTCGTTTACTGGCCTGAACATCGAAAAATTTTATTTTAAAAAATGTGCTCTAGCCACGGTGTAGTAATGGTAGCGCTCGGATTGATGAATCGGAGAGCCGAGTTCGAATTCCAGTCGAATCAATTACATTCACTTACGTGCTAATACCCTTAGGAAAGGTATGAATCCTCTTCTTCTCCCATCAGCTATGGGTAAATAGCAGGACAGACTAGGTTCTATAGCCTTGGATGGCAACTGGTTTACCGCAGTAACCTACTGCGGGAAAAATCTGCTTCGTCAGTCATGTATCGAAAGATACATGATCGCCGAAGTGTGTATCACGCATCGGACATAACTGACTGATATGCATGCATAGATATATCTGTGTGCGTGTATGCGTGCGTATGTGTGCGTACGTGTCTGTCTGGAAAGTATGGCTTTTATGTTCTTTGCTACAAGAACCACTATTTTCCCATTCTTGTTATAATTCTTGGATATCATCAACTTCTGCATCAGTAACACCTGTACAGTGAGCATGCGCACACACGAAATCATACAGACAGGAATAGAGACAGACAGACAGAAACAGTCTCACACTCACACCAGTATGCACGCGTACAAACACACACACACACACATGTACATACTGGCGTTAACGATTATGCGTGTGTGTGCGTGCGTGTATTTGTATGTGTACAGAAATTGAAACAAAATGAAAAAGCCAAGATTTGTTTTACAAGATAGCTCGCGAAGATCTCGCGGTAAAATTCTTTTTATTACAATGAATCCAACAAACATTTTTTAAATAATAAATCAATAATCATCGACTTCAACGGGAAATGTTGTCAATTTATTAGGAGAAAAAACAAAACAAAAACCAGACAGCAAATCAATAGACAAAAAAAAAAAAACAAAAAAAACGCAGTCATTTATCGGCAAGTTGTATTTACGTGAGTATTCACTCATAAAAATGAGTATTTACTCATTTATTTAAAACAGCTTTTACATAGAAGCATTCACTGTACAAACTATATATATATATATACACACACACACACACACACACATATATATATATATATATATATATATATATGCACCTAAATACAAACACACACACGCACACGCACATACACATAGATAGATAGATAGATAGATAGATAGATAGATAGATAGATATGAACATGCTGAGATAGATAGATAGATAGATAGATAGATAGATAGATAGATACATAGATAGATAGATACATAGATAGATAGATATGAACATGCTGAGATAGATAGATAGATAGATAGATAGATAGATAGATAGATATGAACATGCTGAGATAGATATGAACATGCTGAGATAGATAGATAGATAGATAGATAGATAGATAGATAGATAGATAGATAGATAGATATCAGTGCTACTGTGACGTGCCCGAAGTTATTGATCCCAAGGGATTTGAAGGTTTAATGAAACCCGAAGGTACAGAATACTAACAAAGTAGATGCCGATATTTTCACACTGCTTTTTTTTTCATTTCTATTTGGTGTGCAAAATGGCTTCTTAAAAATGACGAACATATCAAAAGAATTTTTTTTTTTTCTCACTCCCTCCTCTCCTTCTCTCTGTCTCTATCTCCCCCGCTATATATATATATATATATATATATATATAGATAGATAGATAGATAGATAGATAGATAGATAGATAGATAGACCGAGAGAGAGTGTGAGAGAGAGAGACAGAGAGACAGACAGACATAAGAATATAAAGTAAATAACGAGATATTAGCAACTGTATATACGTGCGATTGCGTGCATACACAGATAAACAAATAAATATTTATTTAATTTAATTCATGGTGCAAACAAAACAGTGCTCAGTGTAATTAAACAGAGCTATGAAGTATATATTAAAAAATACACTTGTACCTATATTTGTAGTGCAACTTAAAGATTCATGGTTTCATCGTCAGGCAAAGATGGTAAATGAATCACTTGATACAGATATTCCTTTAAAAATACTCGGTCGCATAGGACGAACGCTAAATTATACACAGATTCAAAGCTCAAAGTTAATAAAAAACTTAATATATTATTGGGGTGTAAATTCAAAATATAGAACGTAGGTAGGGAGATATAGTGGAAAAAAGAATGATGCATGCTTAAAGTTCATATGGTACATGTTTTCCGCTGGTAAAAAAGAAAGAAAAAATAAAAGAAAAAAGAGATTTAAGTTAAAATTTTTTTAAAGCGTAAGGAGCAAGTAATATAATTAATAAGGATGGGGTAGGCGAATTATATTTTTGTTTATAAATAAATTGTTTGTTTCAAGGGAGTAACATTGCACAGTATATAAAACTAACATTTAATAATACTAGGATAATAACTAAAAGAAATAAAAAGTGTAGACAGGCAAAGAAGGTTAAAAGGTGAAAAGAAAAAGAAAATAAAAAATAAAAGAAAATAGGAACGTCGTGTAGCCCATTACGTATTAATGGACGCTTAAGTTGTTAAAGTCGTAGGATAATCAGTGTTTAACCTAAAATATATAAGGGGCAGGTGATGCAGGGTTAAATGATCTAACCAGAATCAAAATACTTTAGGGGCGATTTTTTCTATGGATGCATGCTATTGTTTGTTTCAAGGGAGTAACAAGCTCATTTCGTTTGTTCAGTAGGTTTTGTTCATTAATATTTCTGTGAATGAATCTATTTTTCCAGCAAACACAAGTTACATCGGTCACCATGACCAGAAAAGGGTGCAGTTTTGGAGACGAAATTCCAATTTACTACCAGTGTGTAGTTATTTGTTTTAACGTGCCAGTTAAATTTTGAAAGTGCCGTGACATTTCGATATTGTTTATTGGTTAGAGTCATTTTATGATGGCTATACCGGGTTTTCCAGTTGTGAGCAGTGGAACCAAATAAAATTTAGTGTGGCCATTATTTTTAATGCTAGCCTTGTAAATAACGCCTTTATTCATACATTTGGACTGTTTTTTCGATAATTACATTTTTTGTCTGTGTTAATATTGTTATTGAGGTTGTTTAAATATTTGTTTAATGTTATATTATTATGCTCGCTATATACTGCTCGAGGTTTTTGGTGCAGCTGTAACTAATCTTCTTGTTGTTCTTGATGAAGATATTATTGAGCAATGGGCTATGATTGAAATGTTTGTGAATTAGATTAAGGAAAATTTACACGATATTGGTTTTGACATTTTTCTTAAATGGTGGATTAAACCACATTATGTTGTATTTTCTATTTTTATGCCTATTGTTCTTACTAATATTTATATATTTTAGTTTAACTTTGCGTTTACTTTTTTTTCTAGTGCATCTACATATTTAGTTTTATATTTGTCAAAAATAATTTTGTTGCTGGAGTTAGCTGAGAGTCTGTTTTGTACCAATTTGTGCAGGTTGTTTAAAATTCCTGGTCGGAGTGGGGAGGATTCTTCGCTAATGTATTTATAGTTATAAAGCTCTTTAGTATAAGGCATGTATATTCCTTCATGCAGATCGAAAGTAATATCCAGAATATTGATCACCTTAGCATTGGTGTTAGCGGGGATATTTAGTCCATGATCCTTGAAGAATTTGGTAAGGTGTTTTCTAAATCGGTTAGTTTGTTGTGGGTTGGTGTTACGTAGGATGATGACTCTATACAGACGACTATCGAAAGTATACCTAAGTCTCCAAAGTAACAGAATGACAATCAATTTACAAGCTTCTGCAGAATCGAACACTCCCATTGCTATAGAGAAGTATGGGTTGTCATTTTTAGTCCACATAGAACCATCGTGGCATAGGATGGGTTTCTAGGCTTGCTTAATGATGTTGATTTCCTGGTCATTGATGGTGCAATAATTCTTGGCCAGGGTTATAGCTGCTATTAATAGGTCTTCTGTGATCGACTGGTAGAAATTGGAGATGTCGAATTGCATAAAGGTGCTTTCGTTTTTCCTTTTTTTTTTTCTTTTTTTTTTTTTAGAGAACCAATTGATAGCATCTTTTGTATTCTTTCATTGGTTGATACCTGTAGCGTTCCTAGCGTATTTGGAGATTCGTTCTAGTATAGCCGTGCTAATTTCGCTTGTTATTATTCTTGGAAGGGTTAAGCAGTCGGAACTGCGGGTTATTGGGGAAATTATCTTTGTGCTCCTTAACAGTAATGAAGGCCTGATGCACTCTATCGTCGATAAGTTTATTGGTTGTAATTCGTGCTACGTTGTTAATATCATTTTCTCATTTTGATAGGGCATTTTTATATATTTTATTAACCTCTTTACAGATAGCCTTGTGGTTGTCAGGGACGTTGTAGTAATAGTGATTGTCAGTTTTATCAGGATTAATAATCATTTTGTTGGTTTTACATGTTTTGGTAATATCTTTTAATATATTCCTCGGTAGATTGTCATATTTGGCGGTATATTTCTATTTAGTACAGAGAATAAGACTTTTCCAAATTCCAGGAGAAGGTCATCGCTAGGTGGGTTTTCTGGGACTTAAAAGAAATCGAAAGATTCATATTTGTTGTGGCGTTCCTATTTGGCGAAAAATAGCTTCCATCTCATTCTACTCACGACGCTTTCTATGTTATGTAATAAGCTGAGTTCATATTTGTTCCTTTCAGAGACGATGATATTTTTGGTGGAGTAGTCCAGAATAAAACGTTCCATTTCCCAATGACGTATCTGGTAAAGTTAGTGCTCAACATAAAGGGACAATGTAGAGGTATAAGTGTGAATATAAACTAAATAAAGAGATATTAGAATCTGTATATGGCTGCGATAGTGTGCATACACAGATAAGCAAATAAATACTTATTTAATTTAATTTATGATGCAAATAAAACAGTGCTCAATGTAGTTAAACAGAGCTATGAAGTGTATATTTATAAATAAACATATACCTACATTTGTAGTGCAACTTAAAGTTTCATGGTTTCCCAAGTCGTCAGGCACAAATGGTAAAGGAACCATTAATATAGTTGTTTTTTTAATACTGGGTCTCACAGAAAAAACGCTAATTTATACGCAGATTCAAAGCTCAAAGTTAATAGAAAATTAATATATTATTGGGGTGTAAATTCAAAATATAGAACATAGGTAGGGAGATATAGTGGAAAAATGAATGATTTATATGGTACTGGTTTTTTCTGTTGGAAAAAAGAAAGAAATTAAAAGAGACTTTAGCTAGAAATATATATATATATATATATATATATAATTTTATTTTATAAAACAGAGACAAAGAAAGAAAGAAAGAAAGAAAGAAAGAAAGTGAGAGAGAAAGAATGAAAGAAAGAAAAGGAAAGGAAGAAAGAATAAAAGAAAGAACCAACGAACGAAAGAAAGAAAAAGAGAGAAAGAAAGAGTGAGAAAGAAAGAAAAGAAAGAAAGAAAGAAAGAAAGAGAAATGAAAGAAAGAAAAAAGAAACAGGTAGAAAGAAAAAGAAAGAAAGAGTGAAAGAAATTAATTGAAAGAACAAATAAAGAAAGAGAATGTGTGAAAAAAGGAAGAAAGTAAGATAGAGAAAGAAAGGAAGATAAAAAAGAATGAACGAACAAACGAAAAAGAAAGAGAGTGAAATAAATAAATAAATAAAGAAAGAAAGAAAGAAAGAAAGAAAGAAAGAAAGAAAGAAAGGAAAGCTAAGAAAGAAAGAAAGAAAGAAAGAAAGAAAGAAAGAAAGAATGTTCCAATCAACCTTCCATTTTACTTCCGACCGGAAACTTTCATGTTGTTTCTTTGTATGAAAACAAAGATTGAAATGATTTGATTTTGATAAATTGTACTTTAATTTTTTTACATTTTAAAAATTTCAGTTTTTATTTTCTGAGTTCATTTTTGTTCTCTTTTTTCATATTCAATTTTTGTTAAAGGAATATTTAATTAAGAAAAAAGATGACAATTTAACTTTCAGAAGTCTTTTTTTTTTCTGAAGTAATGTATTTTTGGAAAATATAACTTGGCTTAAAAATTAAATGATCTCTCTCCCCACTCTCCCTCTTTTTCCTCATCTTTTTCTTTCTCTCTCTCTCCCCCTCTCTCTCTCTCTCTCTTTGATTATCTAGCTAGCGATCTAGTTAGCTAGACAGCTATCTGTCCTTTTCACTCTCTTCACATCTATCTATCTATCTATCTATCTATCTATCTATCTATCTATATCTATCTATCTATCTATCTATCTATCTCAGTCTGTTCGTATCTATCTCAGTCTGTTCGTATCTATCTATCTATCTATCTATCTATCTATCTATCTATCTATCTATCTATCTCAGTCTGTTCGTATCTATCTATCTATCTATCTATCTATCTATCTATCTCTCAGTCTGTTCATATCTATCCATCTATCTCCGTCTGTTCCTATCTATCTATCTATCTATCTATCTATCTATCTATCTATCTATCTATCTATCTAAATAGATTTATTAAAATAACAGATTAAAATTTTTAATCTTGAATAGTCTGTTCGTATCTATCTATCTATCTATCTATCTATCTATCTATCTATCTATCTATCAGTCTGTTCATATCTATCCATCTATCTCCGTCTGTTCCTATCTATCTATCTATCTATCTATCTATCTATCTATCTATCTATCTATCTATCTATCTATCTAAATAGATTTATTAAAATAACAGATTAAAACTTTTCTAATCTTGAAATATTTATTTGATTAATTTCTTATTGATTTTTCAGATTTACTATACACGCACTACTCATATACACACAGTGTGTGACAGGTTT